TGGCGGGGGGTTGCTGTAAGCCACCACCTGCCTTGGTGCGGCACGGACCTGACTTCCAGCACCCACCGAGGTGCAAGACAGGCGTCTGCAGAGATTTATGGAGCTCAGGTGGGGTCTGGACACCTGCCTTGGACACTGCTGAGTGCTGAGGGCTGTCACACCCTAGGAAAACAAATCAAGGGTATCCTGGAGAGCTGTTGCCTTGGGCTGACAAGGTGCAAAACAGCTTTTTTATATTTCCCCCGTAACATTATTGCTATTATTACAGGCTACAGCAATGCAGTAACAGGCAGGCTGCCAAACTGCCACCGCTTTTGATTCAAGTAATTTCTTAAAATGAGAACTTGTAAGAGGCTTTATGCTTTAGAGATTATATCCCTCATTTCCAGGAGTGAGAAAAAAATCACAAAATATGGGCCTAGCTAAATGCCTAAAACACTGTTTAAAATATTGTTAGATTGTCTGATGAAATGAAGTCATTCTACAAGAATTCAGTGTGTACTGACAAACAGTCAGCGCTGTCAAATACTCAGTTTGAACTCACTCAGATATTTACATTTATTATGATAACAACTATGATTATATAAATGGATTGAAGTTCTGAAGTGGCACATCCATCCCATGCCTTTCCCCGGTCTTGCTGCTCCAGCCACCTTCTTTGCAGGGCACGTTCACCGGGTTTTCTTGGCTGTCGTGTTGTCCCTCTCGCCCTGGTGCGCAGCGGGTGCCGGCAGCAGCTGCTGACTGTGATTTCAGATTCAGATTCAGCAGCGACTCTTTTTTTCCAGAACTGGTGTGACTGAAAACTCCTGATTCTGCGCTGCCTCCTTGCTCACAGCTCTCCGAGAGGCTCCGCTTTCAAAATATTGCCACTCAATATTTATGCAGCGTTGACGTGACTGGTGCCTACCCCGGTCGTCAGTCACGCGCCGGCTGCTGCGGCCCCCCCCCCCCAGTGGGGGAACAGCAAGGACAGCTTTGCTGGCAGAGTGGAACAGAGGGGGGGAAAAAAAACCCAAAACTCCTTTGTTCTTCCTCCAGAATGTCCTTTATCGTCTGTGTCCTGTGACCCCAGATTAAGGGAGCATGTTTAAAATTTAGTAACACTCCGCCAAAGACCGAACTGGGCTTAAAGGTGCTGCCGTCTTCCCCGCGGCGCCAGCGCTGCACCACCACCCAGCTTTTCCTCCAGCTCCCTTCCGTGCCAGGGAACCTCGACAGCCATTAGAAGAGGCAGGCTGGTGGGGATGTGCCTTTTCCTCTGGACTGTTTCTTCTGTTTCCCATTTCTTCAGTCTCTCTTTTCATCTCTCTTCTTTCAGTCCTGGCTTTTGCCTTCAGGCCGTTTCCCTGCTGAGCCATGTGGGAAGGAAGGTGGTGCAGTAAAAGCAAAACCAGAGCACAGAAAATCACCTCCCAAACCTGAAAGCCGTGGAGAGCCCCTGGAAGTGGCTGTGGTGCGGTGAAGGTCTGTGCATCTGAAAGAGCAGGGGAAAAAGTCAAGACATGGGATAGGAAAAGCAGAAAGAAACCAAGAGGAACAATCACCTCGTGCTGTAATTTGGAGAAAAGCCCAGAGGGCTGATTTGGGGTTAAATGCTGTCTGCAGGGGGCACGTGAACTGCAAGCAGACAGAGATTAGCTCCCAAGTCACCTAGTCGCATTTTGAAACATTCACCCTTTCTTCAGTCTGAAAATCTGGGACAATGGCATCGCTTACTCTGGAGCGAAGCTTTGGGAAACACTGTCAGCACTAAGAACTTGTATTTAGGGCTTGTTCTGAGCCATTCCCTGAGCCCTCACTTGTCGCACTCCTCTGCACATCCTTTGCTAGGGAAATGGCCATGCACACAACACTGCGCTTGCCTCGCTCCATCTACCGCACCGAACACCTCCATGCACTGCAGCTGCTATACAGCCATGAGGGATGCCTCAAATATTGCATCCCCATCACACTGACATCGGGCTGAGGAAGCCTGCCTCCGTGGCACCTGTAAAATGCTGGAGGCCAGGAGAACGAGTAGCGCCGTTGTCCGTTACTGGCATTTCAATTATTCTGCTGGGGTCGCCTGCAAGAAGTGGACTCCTAGATTGGGTCAAGCTTTTGCCATTTTACAATTTAAAAATGCCCAGCAAAAATGTGACATTTAGGCTAGCTTAGTCTTATCACAGCAGCCACAAAATCCTGTCTTACTCTCCTGTTAAATGGCACTTGTTCCAAGACAAAAAATAACAACAACAACAACAAAACGATTAATGGATGCATTCATATGAGCTATTAAGAAAAAAATAAAGACAGCGATAAATACCGATAGAGGCAGAGAATGGCAGATCTACACCATGCATCTCCTGCTATTTCCTATTTATACAATAGAGTTTCTTTCTTTGCTCAGACTGGAAGGATAGGCATGACAACCAACTCATCAACATCAGTGTATAATAACATTTCCTTGCTATTAATATGCAAATTGAAATGCACACACTGATTAAAAACATATTAGACAAAGGCTATTGTCAAAGATCTGTGAGCACGCTACACGGCTCAATTAGTGAGCAGTGGGCTGCAGAGGGGAGGCTGTTTAAACCGCGCTCGCTCAAGAACTGGCATGCCAAACCTGCCGTGCGCCGTCATGGCAAACAAGCTGGGGCCATCAGCGCCGAACTAGCGCATGCACAGCCACCAGGCACACCATCGTGCTCTGCGGATGACAGTAAGCATATTGCTCTTCCACAAGAAGGTGTGCGATAATGAACAACCCTGTCAAACATGGCATGGCATAAATGCTTTTTACCGCTGAGGCACGGCATCTGCGGTTGACTGTCTCATAAGGGGGGTGAAGGTGAGCAAAACCCTCTTGGAGAGATGTCCAAGACAAGTATTCAGCATTAGCTGCTCATGTTCTGTCCCATGCCCTTAGCAAAGGCCATCTGCAACTTCTCTGTTAAGGGATATGAAATTCAGTCCTGGTAAGAGTAGAAGTCAGCTGCATTCAGAGATGATTTTTAGTAGTACTGGCAGGATTATGACATGCACAAAGGTGCTGGGGAAATGAAATAGAGGAGGCATTTTATAGTTTGGTTTAGATCTCCTGTGACTTAAGGCACAAGTAGTATATGAGCAGGAGATATAAAAATGCAATACATTGCCCTGCCCTGAAGAGTTCTGCAGCTGTCTCCTGACCCAGCTCTTCACAGCTGGAAGAACACGCTTAGTAAAGATAAACATTACTAGGTCAACAGGAACAGCTCCATCACCCCTACTCAGACACTTGGAATGGAAATTAGGCTAGAAAATTTATCCTAAAGCCTTGAACTGCCCTCACTGCAGTAATGTAAGTGGGGAACACACTGCAACATTAACAGATATTTGCTTTCTCTTCCTTGAGATAATGAATTTTAGCAGCCAAATTGGGTCTCTGCTATCTCACCCTGCAGCACGCCGACCTGGATGTTCCCAGTAACCTCGCACAGGTGGGAGAGGACGTGCAACTGGTCACAGGAACCAGCACACTTAAACTCAGATGAATCCAGAGAACTGTAGAAAACTGCTAACACAGCCAGAAGGAGGAATGTAGACTTTTGCACACATAATTTGAAGATTATGGAAGGTGGTTTTAAAGGTCAGGAGTTGCTAATTAAGTTGATGCAATAGGAACTTAACAAAGAAAGTACCACTTATGTTCTAGGAGCATTCTTTTCCTGTGATTAATTTCTTTGTATTAAGTAGTGTGTCTCAGGGTAGAATCACTTTACACACTGTTGCCATAGAGCTTTATTGCCTTAGCACAAGAAGCAAGTTAAAAAACATGCATTACTAGTGCCATATTACGCCTGAGCATAAAACACTGCAGAAAGTTAGTGGCTTGTTTTCCGAAACACACCCTACAGAATCTGCACTAGAGCCTTAAGAACTTTATTAGGTTGTGCTAGAAGAGTCTTATGGAACATGTCTAAAGGATTAAGGTTTCAGAGTTTATAATTACAGCTGTCTCTCAGTGCCAGCAGTAGCATTCCGGTTAGTACTGGCTCCTTGGTGTGTGGCAAAACGCAACCAGACTCTCAGTTTTTGAGATGTGCTTTATAGAATGTCTTGCACAGCATTTTAAGCTGGGAAAATGTTTGACCACAACAGACAAAATTAACTTGTGATATATGGATGTTCTGCATGGAAAAATGCAGTGTGTTTTCTATGAAGAAAATAAATGCAAATGCTGCCACCCCTCCATTTAAAGTAGCCTTGGGGGATGCAGTGGTTTTACTGCATCCCTTTCCAAAGATCTCTAATACACCCACACAGTGCTTAAGCCAGGTATGATGTACTAGTCTCAACATCAGAGCAGCACACGCAGTCTGGAGACATTTCTGTAGGGATCATCGACTTCCCACTAGGCGATTTGTCTTTTTATGTCTTGCTCTGAAGGCCTAATGAACTTGAGAAAAGCAAGAGATTAGAAGGATTTAGGGACGAAAGCCTGACTGACTGGCCCAGGACAATGCCAGCAACGAAGGCAAATATCGTGCTGCTCTAGTTACTTCACTTTGAAACAGGACAAAGCTGGGGGATATGACAGGGCATCTCATTCTCACTCCACATGCCTCTTGCTCGCCAGGGCCTGATGGCGTGGGCTGTGTCAATCTGTCTGGAGTACTGATCCTCCTGCTCGCACTACGTCTTTGCACCACCCCTGCAGTGTCATGGGACAAACGGGTCTATTTTAAGGCTGCCAGAGCAGCATAAAATGCTGCTCTGCTAAACTAGAGGCAGGTCCTCTGTCTCTGGCCATTCTCATGGGCCGAGCAAGCCACCAACAGCAGGACTGAGCAGCAGTCTGGGAAGGCCAGACAGACTTCTGCAGGCTGGTTATGGGGGCTGAGTTCAACCCTGCTCCCTGCAGCAGTCAGAGCTATCTGCACACCTGCCTAGGGGAAGAAATTGTGTTTGTGCTGTGATTAATTTGCTGCAATGAGCTTCTAGTGATTACCTGAGCACACAAGTTAGAGAAGGGTTTTTTCATTTGCTCCTGCCAAAATCACCTCTGCAGCACCATGAGTGCAACTTAGAGGAAGGAGCACAGGTTGCAGGAAGGAAGAATTTGGCGGGGAGGAGACCCAAAAAAGCCAATCTGTACATGCATAAATGATATGCCCTATCTCTGTAAATCATTCTCGCTGTAAAGAAGCAGTTTAGCTTCAGAAGCACTGTCTTCTTATGTTATTACCCAGAACACAATAAATGAAAGAGCCCCATAGCAATGAAACATAAGGACATGCTTACTCATCTTTAAACAACCCAGTCTCCTCCACACATGAAAGGCATTGATGCAAGAGCACAGATTAATCATATAGAGCTTCTTTAGTATCTTTTACTGTCCCTAGAGAGTAAAAAATCAGATTCTGCAGGCATCTGACCCTTCCCTTTGCAAGACTAAAGACAAGAAAAACACCATGCAGCCATCAGGGGCCAAGACCTCCAAATGAGCAGAGCTCCAGGCAGCCTCTGGGCTGTAGAAGAGTAAAGGTCCTCTTTGCTACGTGGTTCTCTTCCCGTGTCTAGACCCTCTTAGCAAGGCAAAGGAAATGAAATGCTGCTGCTGGTGTACCACAACGTAGAGGTCTGAAGCACAGCACAGAGGTTAACGCCGTTTGCAGGCACCTCCCCTCTGTGCTATGAGCTTTCAAATGGGAGAAAGTTGTTCAAAGTTGAGGCTGGCGCCTCTGCATACTGCTGTAATACATATAAAACCAATGCAAGTAGTATATATCATCATATGCAAATATAGGCACACAAGTTATCCCAATCACATAGAAAATAATTTTTTAAATATGTAACATGAAATCAGCAAGAGTTAGTCAAGAGGTGAGAGCGCCGAAGGGACAAAAATTTTATTATGAGCTCCATGAATTCTCACTCTCCCCCTTCAGCAATTTAGGGGAGCCTAGCACCTTTTGCAATTCAGATGCTGAGCTTTTTAGGATGGAGCACTTCATTACTGCACTGAAACTTTCCTAATTACCCCTCTAATTGGAACACCCACTAGACATAGTCATCTAAAGAATATTTGCTGTTAAATCGTTTTCCTCCACTAGAAATTTTCTTGTCTACTGTAACCAAAGAGATGAAGGGAAAAATCACTTCCAGACAGACTGTAATCAAGAAGAATTTGTAATTTATTTCACCTGTCCATTTTGTAATCAGAACAAATTCTTCAGGTACAGAACCGCATCCTGTGCATTTGTTTGAAACACAAAAACTGGACACAGTCTCCGCACAGGTCTGACGTCCCTCTAAGGGCGGTGGAGGCAGGAATCTGAATTTGTCCTGCTGCTCCCATGGGTTATGTGACTGTTTAAGTGTCCTCTGAATCACCCCCCAGTACCGTTCACTTCGTGTGTGAGCAGAGAGAACGTTTAAAAGCACTAAATGCTCATTTGGAGTAAGACTGGCACTCTTGCACTGCACCACTTAAGCTTAACTAAGCCAAGCATAAACAAAACACAACAGGAAAGATTTTCCTAAGCAGAGAGGCATGTAGACAAACTTTAATATTTAGTGTGAATTTTGTCTACAGCTCCTACCTATCATAGCTAAAACATATGAGCTAGGCACATTGCTCCAAATTGTTTGCAATCTCTACCATCAAATATGATGATACTAATATTTAGTTATTCGAAATATGAAATGACCAACATGATAGCTATGTTCTGTTTAAGTCAATTAGCCCAGCTATTATAAAGATTTAGCACGTTCCTTTGATTAAATGCCAAAAGAAAATAAAAAGCACCAAAGATTGTCTGGTAAATATATTTGCCACTAATTTTCATATGCTATGGCAAGGAAAAGCATAATCACATAAGCCTCGTTTCTTCTTAGACTAGAAGGAGTCTATTTTGTCTTCATTGCTGGCAGGCAAAATAACATGGGCTTCCACAGAGAAGCATCTGTTATTGATCTTCCTCCTGATTTAAGAGAATTATCTCTCTTCTCTCCTGAAGATTTGGAATAACAATCTTCTGAAAAGAACTGGTGAGTTTGGGCTTTTAATTGCCTTTGCAAGGTAAAAGAGTCATTTTCACCAACACAGATAAGCTTTTTCATTAAAAGGGTGACTCCGGTAGCAAGGTAGGGAGGGTTTTCCAAGTCCCACATGAGACAGTAGTAAAAAGCTAGTTATACAATATTATCATTAACAAGGAAAGCCAAAGTGGCTTTTTCGGGCATCGCTGCCTTCTGTGTATGTCAACAGAGCCGCGACAGAAACACCCTGCAGCTGGCTACACGTGCGGCGCTCAGACCCAGCAGGCTGCCGAAGATGAACCTCTTCCCATGATAGGGAAAGATAAGAGAAACCGAAGCTTGTCAGCAGCAGATAAGACTGTATCGCTTCCTCTGGCTTCACCAGCTCCCCCCCGCTAAAAGCCTGCTCTCCCTTCATCCCGTGGACTCACTGACCAACTGAGCTGGTCCTAGCAACAGAGTCCTATAGGTACCAGCATGGTTTCAGAGCAGTTACTACTTAGTATGTACTGCCTTGTGACTTAATGACTGACTGGGCTTTAAACATTGCATTTGCCCAAAGCAACCACTGGTTTACAGTGAAGCTGCCTTGACTTCACTTGCACATCAGCCACGAAAGACTGCTCTGCTGTACAAATCCTTCGGGGGCCGCTTCCCTCAAAGCTAGAGGAAAATTAAGGCTACTGCACAGCACCTGCTGCATCCTCCGCTACAGATCTTGCTAGTTTGTGGGCTACCATACTGCAAATAGACAATAATAATAATTCTATGACCATTCAAAATAACTTTTGCATCATAACTACAATTTTCCAAGTGACCTGCCCAAAGGTAACTCATCTGAGACATGTACAGCACTGCTCAAAACCCAAACACACAGCAATAAACTTCATTGCTTTGGCTTATTAAGGTGCAGAGGAGCGGATGGAGGACACAGATTAATCCCCTATATGTGATTTGTTCACTTGGCAGAAAATTCACAAACCTGCAGGCCACTGTGGTGAGCTGTGGATTAAATTAAAAGTTTCCCTGATGCAGAGCCAGCAGCAGCGGGTCACTGCTCTTCCTTGAGATGCTGGAGGAGTAGATTTGCACCTTGCTGGGACTTCTGGTAAATTAACTGATGGATCCATAAACATCACTGTTCATTTCCAAAGATAAGACAGTTCTAGTTCAGTGGGCACAAAAAGGAAATGTCAAAACCTATTATTTCAGAGATGTAGCAGCAGGGAAATGGCCTCAGTCTCAGGAGAATTGTGCTACTACATATATATAAAACAATCAGATTGCTCTTTAAAAAGACAGTGCTGAATCTCTATCAGCATTCACAAGACAGGTTCTCTGCGCGCACAGTGCACTGACCAAGCTTGTACAACACAGGGCCCAGCGAGGTTCGTTTTGCATCGCTCGCGGTATCTACGTACAACTTGACCACGTTTCTTACAGCTCTCGGAAGTGAGGTGGGTTAGGTTAGAAACCTGTTCCCTTTCTGCTGATTGCAGCAGAAAAACGGAAGCTGTTGCAAGCGCCTTCGTTGCCAGCGGGTTCGGTGAGCTCACCCCCG